TTAAAGCCTTTCTCTTGGACCTCTTAATAAGGTTCTCAGCTTTAGTTATTTATAGATTGCTTTTTCAGAAAGGAGCTGCTCTAGGTACTATGAAACTGCTTTTGCATTGTTGATGAAAGCCCTGTGCTCTGATCTTGTACCTTCTTATATGTCTGTGTCTTTGATTCACAACTCTGTCTAAGAGTCCTTCAGTGGCCCATACAAGCAAACAAGTCTTTTGGGTTTTTTGGCCACTAACACCATGTGGGATCTTAGTTGCCCGATACTGGAAGCTCAGAGTTCTAACCTTTGGACAACCACCAGGGAAGTACCAACAAGTCTTTTTTAGTGATTGCCTTTGGAGTTATCTTACTTATGCCTAGAAGCACAAAATTATTTATACTTAAAACTATTGAAATATTTCACTGTTTAAATTTTAAAATTGACTCGGATCATAAATCAAAAGGAAAAATAACATTTTAGTTGAGTTTAGCACTTAGCACTCTGGGAAAAAAGTATTGGCCTCAACAGCAACAGATATTCCCTGATCTGTTGAGTACCAGGCCATTTAGCTCGAAGCCATTCATAACATGCTTTGTTATTATTCTTAAAGAGAATTGACATTTCCTAAGTTTGAAAGGATAAGTACTACTTGAAGACATTTATGTCCCATTCATTGATCCTTGTAAAAGTTAGTCTTTAAATTTTTATTATTTTATTATTTTATTATGCCTTTATTTCTCAGGTAAATTGTGTTCATTGTAGAAAGCCAAGAAAATCCAAATCAGAGCAATAGCTTTGATAGTGTTCAGTACATTCATTAGGGGATGCATGTATTTTTCTATGTACATAATAGTTTACTCGATGAGAACATTGAGTAGTGGAGTTATTTCAGGTATTTTATTTAAGGACTGTAGGAGTTTAGTGAATTTTACAATTGTGTCCAGTGTATAGTGGTCTGAAAATAGTATCAAGTCATGTTTTTAGGATTTCAATTCTTTTAGTCCTGATTCTTAACACTATCCTGGCAGAAGTTGCATCTATAAAAGTATTATTTTGGAGATTCTATTACTATAGAGAAAACTTTTTAAGAATAATTAATTGGTATGATTTATTGTTGCTGTTCAGTCGCTAAGTCATGTCCAGCTCTTTGCAACCCCATGGACTACAGCATGCCAGGCTTCCCTGTCCTTCACTATCTCCCTGAGTTTGCTCAAACTCATGTCCATTGAGTCAGTGATGCCATCCAACCAGCTCATCCTCTGTCGCCCCCTTCTCCTCTTGCCCTCAATATTTGCCAATATCAGGGTCTTTTCCAGTGAGTCAGCTCTTTGATCAGGTGGCCAAAGAATTGGAGCTTCAGCATCAGTCCTTCCAATGAATATTCAGGGTTAATTTCTTTTAGGATTGACTGGTTTGATCTCCTTGCAGTCCAAGGGACTCTCAAAGAGTCTTCTCCAACACCACAGTTCAAAAGCATCAATTTTTCGGTGCTCAGCCTTCTTCGTGGTCCAAATCTCACATACATGCATGACTACTGGAAAAACCGTAGCATTCACTATACAGACCTTTGTTAGCAAAGTGATGTCTCTGCTTTTTAATACACTGTCTAGTTTTGTCATAGCTATTCTTCCAAGGAGCAAGCGTCTTTTAATTTTGTGGCTGCAGTAACCATCCACATTGATTTTGGAGCCCAAGAAAATGAAATCTGACACTGTTTCTACATTTTCCCCGTCTATTTGCCATGAAGTGATAGGACTTGATGCCATGATCTTAGTTTTTTGAATGTTGAGTTTTAGGCCAGCTTTTTCGCTCTCCTCTTTCACTTTCATCAAGAGGTTCTTTAGTTCCTTTTCACTTTCTGCCATTAAAGTGGTATCATCTGTGTAACTGAGGTTGTTGATATTTCTCCTGGCAATCTTTTTCCAGCTTGTGATTCATCCAGCCTGTCATTTCACATGATATACTCTGCATATAAGTTAAATGATGATTTATTAATTACGAAAATTAAGTCATTTAGTACTGCTTTTAGATAAACATTATTTGTGTTGAACACATACTCAGATTTCTAATCTCCTTGAGTAAAGGAAGGTAGGATGTAACCAGTGATTCTTAGTGCTGGTTTCACATTCTAGTCACTCATGGGTTTTAAAAAATACCTAGTTTTCACTTTTGGAGATTCTGATTTCATGATATTTAGCCTGGGTGAGGCTCTGAATGTTTGATTCTGAGGTGTCGTCAGGCATGTGAGCCATGAATGTCATGTGATAAGATCCTAGGAATGGCTGTGTTCTGGAAATCTTGAGGATTTGTACTCTTTCCTTACCTCACAGTATCTCAGAATTGTACAATGTCTTGAAAAGTCCCAGTTGGTATCATTTTGATACCACTTTTTTGCATTTTAAATGGGTAGATGGTTGAGGGTTGGGTTTTTTTTTCTTTTTTAGAAATAATAGAAATGAATGAGTGATAAGAACAAAACTAGTAGTACATTGTAGCTTCCTAAAAGAAGAGGGAAATTTATTTCCTTTGTGAGTTTTTATCTTGTAATAAATAGTACTGTCAAAATTGGCAATATATAAAATTCAAGTGCCAATTCTATGTACTAAACTCTATGCTAAGTATTTTATGTGCATTTTTTTGTTTAATCATCATAACTTCTTTCTGAAGTGGGTATGATTATTATCCACATGTTGTAGGTGAGGGAACTGAGACATGGATTAATTAATTTGATGAAATGAGGACACAGACCCAAGTGCTATCTAACTTTAAGTCATATTCTTAAACATTGTCCTATAGTGACATAAATTATGCATCTAATTTATTGTTTAGTTGAGCTGAATCAGAATTAATCTGAATTTACCTTAAAGAATTTCTCCACAAAACCGAAAGTCGGGCGGGGGGGGGAGGGGGGCAAACTTCAGGCAGTATAAATATGCAGATTATTATATTGTTTGAAAATTTTTTTCCTTTTTAAATCTTTGGCTTTATTTTAGGGGAAACTTTAAAATCAGTAAGATGCGTGTGGCTTTTAGGTTTATAATGCTAACTACATTGATTTTAATAAGGTTTAAAAGTTGTGTTTCATACACATATTCAAATGAATAGGCCTAGTAGTAATTGATATCTTAGGGTATAGTGAATAAGTTTCATCTGATCTCTTGAATGTTGTATATATATCAGTTTGATTTATGGGCAAAAGCAAGAGCAACTTTGATCTTGCAGGCTGTTCCTTTTGCACATGCATAACTAGAAGAGACCCATCAAATTATCACTGAAGAATTAGTGTGTCTTCTATGTGAATTCCAGTGCAGACAGATCCTGGGATGCTCTCATTTTCCTCCTCTCATTTTGCATCTATTTTCAGAGCATTCAGCTGCCTTTTTATCTGTCTACCTTGGAATTGGCATGTTATTGCTACTTGATTTTTACATGGTTTTCCTGTCTTTTTCCAACATCCCTTTCTCGTCTCTTTTTTTTCTCTTCTCTTACAGTTCCTTTATTCATTTTTTTTTTAATTTAATACCCTAACTCAACTGTATTTTAGTTCTGTGGCTTCTCTTCTACTTCCTTATTCCATTCTCATTTCCTTTGTACTGTTCTCAGCCTGTAGAACAGGGATCAGCAGACTTAAGGCTTATGGACTAAATCTGCTCATCAGTAAATAACATTTTATTGAAACACAGTTAGGCCTATTCATTTATGCATTGTCTTTGGCTGCTTTATTTATTTATTTATTTTTTTTAGCATGGCTCTTTCAGTTTATTGCATGAAGGAGTTACACTAGTCCAAGTTAAAAGCAGACCCCAAATGGTTACACTATACAAGCTGTGAGGTTTTTAAACTTGTGACAAGGGACAGAAGGGAAATTCTACTCATTGCAAGGAAATCCTCACTTAAGCTTCAGTGAGCCAAAAGCACTTAAAACCCATGAACCTTCAGCTGGTCGTCCTTAGCCAGTCCAATCTCTACCAGGAACTGGCATATGTTCTTGCGTTGGTCACCCTGTAGCTGAATTACTTCTCCATATTCTGGATGCTCAATTACAGTACCATTGTAGGCAAATTTCTTCTTAAACGCCTTCACTAGTTTCTTTTTTATTGTAATCATCAGCGATCCCTTGGACAGTAGTAAGGGTCTCCCTGCCGTTTCTCTGTTGAATTCTTATATGGATATAATCCTCAGTGCCAGCAGGAAGCAGATCATCACCCTTAATTGCATCAGCAAAGGGGTCGAAAGAGTGGAAGTTCTGGATAGCGAACATACGATACGATTCCTTTTCCTCGGTGGAAACGGCCTGCAGAAGGCGGCGGCGGGAGAAGGCGGGCAGCGGGGACGGAGCGTCGGGAAGCGAGGGGGCTCAAGGGGGAGGTTGCTGAGTCCTCGGCGGCGGCTCAGTGACTGGGGCCTCTTTGGCTGCTTTAATGCTGCAGTGATAAAGTTGAATAATTGTATTAGAGACTATATGACTTTGAAAGCTGAAAAAAAAAATTTACTGTCTGCCCCTTTATAGGAAAAGTTTGCCAAGTCTAAAACCTAGATCATTTTCCCTACTGCATTTCAGCTGTTAACGGTTATTCAAAAATACATATTGTACTGGCTTCAGTGAAATAAGGCACAATATATTTTGTTGTAACACACATCCTTTGACTCTCGTCTAGTACTGTGCAATTGCACTTGATTCCTTATGTCAGGTTAGATTTAGAATGACTTTTGCTTGCTAGCTCCTTTGTTAACAATAAGTGAAAAATGATAAATGAGAAAATTGGTTATCTTGAATTCTTTTAATTATTATTCTGTATACCTTTCTTACGCAAACTTCTTGACTCATTTTCTGCTGACTCTGCATCCCATTGTTGTCTTTTTTTTTTTAAACTACTCATTTACTTGGTTGTGTCAGATTTTAGTCGCAGCACATGGGATCTTTTGTTGCGGTGCGTGGGCTTCTCTCTAGTTAGGACATGTGGGCTCAGTAGTTGCAGTGTTTTGGGCTTAGTTGCACGAAGCATGTGAAATCTTAGTTCCCTGACCAGGAATTAAACCTGGGCAACGGCAGTGAAAATGCCGAATCCTGACCACTGGACCACTAGGGAATTCCTGTGTTCTTTGCTCACTGCTCTTCCCACATGTAGTCACTTACGTACTCTCATAATATCAGCTACCAACCACATAGAAGCCTCCTCTGAGTGTCTGTACATCATTCCCCTTATACTGTGTTGTATTATAATTAGATGTTTCTGTCTCCTCCATTATGCTTTGAGTTCCTTGTGTACTGTATGTTTTTCATCCTTGACTTCTAGGATAGTGTTCTGTCACACAGTACGGTCTCAGTATAAATGTCTTTTGAATGAATGAAATTAGAGCCTTCACATACTTTTAAAGAAGCACTGTTTCATGCAAAGAACAGGAAACGTATAAGTAGTCTTGATGTCTACAGCCAGGCAACAAATACTTTCTGTGCTTTGGAATTTATTCATTGCTGTGCTAATTGCTATAGACAGTACCAAGAAATTCATATTCTTGGTTCCTTTTGAGAACTTAGGGATGCCGTATACCTTTACACAGAGACTTTTACATTTAATTCTGTGGTACTTCCTAGGAAATTCATGTACTCCATGTTAAGGAGCTCTTCTCTAGGCATTTTTAGAGATGAAGATAACAAATCCTGTGAAAGAATTCAGGAAAAATGGAAAGTTGGTAATCAATGTTTTATTTAAAATTATAGAGCACTTAAAAATAAACAATATAATAGGTTTGAATGTGTATTGGAACATAGAAAAATGCTTTCAAATATGCTAAAACCTTTGATTTTTACCCTAAAGCGTGCTATGCAGCCAGTCGAAGTACTTGGACAAGCATCGCTCTCTATAGATGACTGGGGTAGGAGGTAGGCTGCGGAGTTGCCTGCAAGGGTCTCCTAGTCAGATTGGCAATGTTTTTCTTGTTGTGGCTCTCAGTCGCCCTTCTCAGCTCCTCATCCTGGCTGAGATCAGACATTGTCACACCTGTGTGGCTACAGCAATTTTCAGGCAACAGGCCTTTTTCTTCCTTTTGTGCTTAGACTCAGTCATGCCAACAATGGCTTCTTCATTGGTGTGGCCACGCGTTCTATTTTTCACTGGTTTCTTCATTTCCAAGTGTGTAAATGGGGCAGGTGAAGTTAGTCTGACTTTGAGTCACAATCGTATCTTCATCAGCTCTTTCTGTGTCATCATCCTGTCTGCTTGAAGACCATATTGCTTCTTTAGTTCTTTCATCTGTTGTTTAAATTGTACAAATTTTTCATTATTTTGAAAGTCTACACTAGAATTCTTATTCTATAAAGCCAAAAACTTCACTAATAATTTTAGATTGGATATTTTTTCTGGACATTCTTTTGCATGGTTTATTGTACAGCCTTTAAATAATGGTTTAGTTCCCGATACGTCATTGCAAATTCAACCATTGCTTTATCCATACTGTACTCACTACTCACTTAAGTGTAAGTTTCCATGAGATCCAAAGTAGCGCTAGAAGCTATCTGTTCCAAAGCTGATGCAGGATTGAGTTTTTCAGGAGGAGAGTGCACATTCTCCACTGCTGAAGGATATAAAACCAGTTGAACCTGAACTTGAAGTGGAACTACCCCTGCATCTTGAAATTATTACCTGGCTGCCCAATGTAGCTCCATCTGGCTATACCTGGACTTGGCACACCCAGACCCCAACTCCATCCTTAATTCCCTTCCCATGTCAGAAAGTTGAAATTGGTGGCATTAAATCCCAAATAAAGTTCAGAGACATAAAAGAATTGTGTCTGTTGTAGTAGTTGGAGTAATTCGGGTTGTGAATGGGTGATTAGAGAACAGTGAGAAATAAAATTGCCTGGATTATTTTATTCTGGTGTTGCACTGTTCTGTTTTCATGTGATCATTCTATGTGTCTGATAGGGTGAGGTCCTCTGAATAACAGTGGAACCTTTTCTGAAGTGCATGACATTAGGAATGCCACATCAGTCGTCTAAGGAAGAGGCAGGTCCCAGAGCAGCATATGTCCCTGCGAAGCCTTAGATTCTGAGGAATCTAAATGTGTTTCAGATTCATTCATGTCTGGCACTCCAGTGTGGTGGGCTGGCCACAGCCTTGCAGCTGAGTAGGCATCTTGGAGCAAGGAGTACAAGAGGTTCTGTAGCTGAGCAGCAGATGCTAACATTGAACAGGCAGGCAGGCAGCTCTTAACACTGGGCAAGTGATGGGGATTGACAGCCTGCTTTTTTGGCAGGAGGGAGGATAGGCCCTGTGGTAGGTAGGCAGGTGGGGTGATAGAGAGGCAAGTGTTCTTGCGGCTGTCTAGGAAGCTGATTGTCTTGAGCCTGTGGACATTGGGAGTAGGTTTGTTTTTTGTTTTTAAGGAAGTAGGTTTTCTAAGTCAGTCCATGTTCTAATAATCTTCTGTTAAAACTGTACCATTATAAGGTTTACTGCCTCAGCCTTGCTGTAGGCTAGTTAGAGAAGGATGTATGTCTATGCTGGGTTCAAGTAGTAAGTGGAGATGAATCAACATTTACTGAGGCCAGTATGGAGGTGGTACAGAGATTGAGATTTAAAAAATTAAATAGGTATAGTGGAACAGGTGATGGAAAACTTAATACATAGAGTAGTTTGGGGTACATAATAGGAAAGTATTGCATGTTATTTCTTTATATGTTTTTGGAGCATACAGAAAGTATCTGCTGTATTCTTTATGTTTATAACTCTTCTGTATTTATAACTCTTCTATATTTATAACTCTTATATATTCCTTGAAAGGAACCTACATACTATTCTCCATAGTGGCTGCACCAGTTACGTTCCCAGCAACTGTGTAGGAGGGCTTCCTTTTCTGCACACCCTCTCCAGCGTTTTTATTGGTAGACTTTTTGATGATGGCCGTTCTGACCAGTGTGAGGCAATTGCTCATTATAGTTTTAATGTGCATTTCTCTAGTAATTAGTGATGTTCAGCGTCTTTTCATGTGCCTCTTGACTATCTGTATGTCTTCTTTGGGAAAATGCCTATTAAGGTCTTCTGCCCATTTTTTGTTTGGTTATTTGTTTTTTTGATACTAAGTTATATTTTGGAAATGCAGCTCTTGTCAATCTCATTGCAAATTTCTCCCTTTCTGTGGGTTGTCTTTTCATTCTGCTTATGGTTTCCTCTGCTGTGCAAAAACTTAAAGGTTTGATTAGGTTCCGTTTGTTTATTTTTGCTTTTATTTATATTGCCTTGGGAGACTGACCTAAGAAAAACGTTGCTATGATTTATGTTAGAATGTTTTGCCTGTGTTCTTTTCTAGGAGTTTTATGATGTTACATCTTACATTTAGTTTTTGAGCCATTTTGAGTTTAATTTTGTGTATGGTGTGAGGGAGTGTTCTAACTTCATTGATTTACATGCAGCTGTCCAGCTTTCCCAATGCCACTTGCTGAGGAGACCAGCTTTTCTTTGTTGTATAGTCTTTCCTCCTTTGTCGAAGATTAATTGACTATAGATGTGTGGATTTATTTCTGGGTTCTCTATCCTGCTCCATGGATTTATATGTCTCTTACTTGTGCCAACAGCCTCCTAGTAAGTAATTCAGACAAGTCCTGGACATTTTCAGGAAGACCATTTACTTGGTAGTATTGTGTGTAAGGCTAGAATACTCAGTTACTGTCTGGTTTTAGTTTTGTTTTTTCTCTTGCCCTGCACAGTCTCAGTGGAATCTTATGAATAGAAAATATATTAAAACTAGTAATAAAGTCAGGCAATGAAAGAATGTGGATGAAATCTGCCAAGGAAACAGAATGGCGTTTGTATAGATGTTTAGGAATTGGAATTAGCTGTTTCTTAACCTATTTCCAAACACTTTTGTTATAGGCTTAAGAGTTAGTCGTTGTAAAAAGACTACTGTATTGCCTAATAGTATCGGAAATACAGTTCCCACATTTTGTTTTTTAATTCCTGAATATTTCTGAATTTATGTGGGATTCTTTTCTGCTACATTTTCTACAAAAGCCCTTTCTTTCCCTTTTCCTTTCTCTTTAACTTTCGAGATGAAAACAGTAGCTTTTATTTTTAAAAACTGCTCAAACAAAATTAGATCATTTCATTCTTTTGGACGGCACAGACTAAAGGTTCTTTTCACCCTTGAAAATGGAGTTCTGAACCAGGAGCCTAATGGGGAAGCTGGAAACAAAGTGCTCACCTCTGGATACCTCTGCACCAAGTATACCTTTCTGTTGAGGTTTTTGTTTGAGTTTATCTTCTCTCTTTTGGAGATAGTCTTATCTCTAATTGATTTCTGTCAATGAGAAATGTAACATTCTGTGGCATCTAACACCTTGTTTTTTTAAATACAGCCTCACAAAGTGGCCTTTTCATTTTTCCCTTGTTCTTCTGTAAGTTACATTAACCTGGGTTTGCTGTAGAATTTGGTGTGCATTTGGTCTTATGGAGTCTTGACTACTGATCTTCATTGGAGTCTGGTTTGTAGGTTTAAATTTTTTTCCCTAATAACTTGGTTGATATTTTGAAGTTAGATATCCATTTCAGCTCAACTTAATTTAGCTAATTTAATGTTTTAAGAAAATTACTTTTCAAATGTTAAATTACTAATTATAATGCCTTTTATGTTATATAATGGGCTTAGTAAAACTAAGGTGAAATATTTTATCTTAAAAATATTTTGCCAGAGTTTTAACTAGGGAATCCCACTTTCTTCATGTCACAGGCAGTTTATTAGTAGGGAAAATAAGAGCTACTACTTATTCATTTATGGCTACACTGAACAGCATGTGGCATCTTAGTTCCCCAACCAGGGATTGATCCCATGCCCCTTACAGTGGAAGCCAGAGTCTTAACCACTGGACCACCAGGGAAGTCACCAGAACTTAATATTTAAGTAGGATATGTTTTCTCTCAGTGATATTTATCTCATTTTATCATAGTATGATAACATTTAATAATTTCATTTTGTATGGGAAGAATATGAGGTTTCTTCATTATTGATGCATTCTTGTGCAAGCTGGTGCTGCCTCAATGAACTACTGGATCCAAGTGCTTTATTCAGACTTGTGATCAAGTATATTGTAATAT